TGTTTATGCCGTTTCAGGTCTGTGTAAAACCTATCAATCACTATTTAAAAGCTGGGCATCTCTCTCTCTCTCTCTCTCTCGTGAGCAGATGCAATCATTTATATTAGAGAAATGCATTTGCATTTGCAGCGGTTTTCATTAATGCACAAAGAAAATTACTGATACTCTAAAGCATCACAGTGCACCAATGATCTGCAGCACAGACACCTAAGTTTTGCATGACTGTAGAATAAGATTATCCCCTTCGCACAATAAATTGCACAGAACTGTAATAAACTGCTATCACATGTCAAAGGAATTATACTGAACACATTTGATCACATATCACGTAACCCCCGTTAACTATGTTGAAGCATTCGGTGGGTCTTCATAAGGAAAGACGTCTTCCTCCAGGGGGGCGCAGGAAGGCTCAGAAAGCAGCATACAAGGCGACAAGGCGTCTCTTGCTGGGCCATTTATACAGTTTGCACAATTAAGATATTGTATTTTCTTTTTTATATGTATGAATTCCTAAGATTGCCTGATAAATGAGACGCAGCAATCTCTAGAAAATGATTTTTAGCGATAACATTCTTCAGTAATTACGATTGGTCCATCCTTATCGGCGCTGAGAATAGTAACAGGTTTCATATCACAGCTGCTGCTGCACAAGCACAAGCGACCTGGACGATTCAAATATGAGAATTACAACTACATTAAAAATACCTTGAAAATAGAAAAAAGGGCAATATATTATTTAAACTCATTGTGCATCCATTTTATAAATTTATTTCGTGGTAACTGCCATAGAGAGTAATATGTGCGGAATGAGTCGCACTTCTTAAAGTCGGCCGCTAGATGGCACGCGCGTTCCATTGTGCACATATTGCAGTTTACCTCAGAAATTCCATGGAATTCATTTAGTACAGTGTTTCTCAACCAGCGGTCCGTGGACCCCTAGTGGTCCTTGACGCAAGGCCAGGGGGTCCGTATAAAGTATTTGAACTAGCTTAAGGCAGAGTTTTGGTTGAAAACTAAGCTAGTGCTTTGCTGAGTTATTAAACCTCCTTCAAAGTCTCATTTCATGACTGAAGAACATTTATGTTTACAAGGGGCACATTTCATTAGGTCACATTTGATCATCCACATGAGGAAAGCAAGAAATGCCAACAATTTTGCCTTGTTAAATATTTTAATGCTTGAAATCAGCCTTTGATAATGTGCAGTGTTTTTACATACAATAGTAAGTAGAAAATATTTACTTTAATTCCTTTTATGCTACGTAACTGCACCATGTCCTTGATGCACATAGCCCAGATCTGACTAAAACCTATTTCAGAGTAAGGTGCACATTCACAGTTCACAGGTTTTTTTGCCTTTTTGCTCAGCCACATGTGGCTGGTAGACTTGAGTGAAAGCATGTGTTTTCATTTAGCCCTTCAAATAAATAGGAAACTCTGAGAACAGAGGAAAAAGTTGAATCTAGTTAACTCATTTTAAGGCTTTCAGTTGTCAGTCAGAGGGAGTCAATTTGCCACTTGTGAATTATGTGAATATGTTAACCAACATTTATGTCCACACTTTACACTTAGCTCTGATAAGCAATCAGGTGGCTTGACATTGGTCTTTACTGGCCCAGAGCAGAAAAATATGTACACTTACTGTAAAGATTCCAGAAAACAGTTCTCCATTTATATGCTCTGGCTAACTTCCCACAATGGAAAAATGCTGTTGGAAAAAGAAGAGTGGAAAAAATAATGTTTGTGTTAAATTCCTGCTGGAGTAGCATGAATGATCTTAATTTGTTCCAGTAGGGTTAAACTGAATAGATTTACGTGTGCTGTAAAACATTACACATTTAACTTGATTTCACTCTTTTTTTAATGAAAAAAAAAATGCTGTATTTAAAATGCATATAGGTAGATGATATTAAATACTTTTTGGAAGTTGACATAAATGTTTTTTTAATTATTATTATTATCATTGATACATGAATATAGTTTTTATTAATATTTTTAAAGGGGTCATATGATGCGATTTCAATTTTTCCTTTCTCTTTGGAGTGTTACAAGCTCTTGGTGCATAAATAAGATCTTTGCAAAGACTAAAGTCTCAAATCCAAAGAGATATTCTTTATAAAAGTTAAGAGTCAACCACGCCCCCCTAAAACGGCTCGTTCTAACACGCCCCCACATGTCTACGTCACGATGTGGGAAGATTTGCATAACGCGCCCAAATGTTCACGCAAAGAAAGAAGGCATAACTTTTATTCTTGCTGTAGTATTGTTGCTGCCGCCATGTGGTTGCCGCAAGCTCCTTGTCGAATCCGCCGGCCACCGCTCAATCAAGCCCGCCGTGTGTGACGCTGTGTGTTTCGTTGTGAAAGCAAAACTACTTTGTTTGGCCTTCCAAAAGAGGACACGACTAGAAATCAGTGGTTAAGTTGTATTTACAGCACTGTTCCAGAACACACCCAAATATTCAGATGTGTGCAGAACATTTTATGGTTTCCTGATCCTGGTAGAGTAGACTACAATGCCGGCTGTTCTGACTCACAGACTGTAAGTAAGTTTTTTTATATTTAAAGGATTTGCCACTGATGATTCAAACGCGAGTTTTGAGCAGTGTAGAGTAGCGCTTGTTTGTCATTTCTCAGATCACAAATGCAGACATGGTTTTATGTTTACGCGGCGCGATGCAATGCGTAAAAAGAAAGTATAAATCAATATAATCCGTATTTATGTCCCCACTGGATGCAACAAACGCCTTGTTGACAATGGGTTTTAATGTTTTTGTCTCGTCGCTCCGGCCGGACAGGGCATCACAGTATGGTATGGGCGTAACATTTCCGTCACACGCTTGAGGTATTCAGCCAATCACAACACAGTGGATAGCTAGCCAATCAGAGCACACCTCGCTTTTCAGACCGATGAGCTTTGTAAAAATCGACCCGTTTCAGAAAGGCAGGACATAGAGGAGAAACAATAATGTACAGTATGTGGAAAATAATGTGTTTTTTTAACCTGAAACCGCATGAACACATTTCATTACACCAAATACACCAAATAATGTCACAGTATGGTATGGGCGTAACATTTCCGTCACACGCTTGAGGTATTCAGCCAATCACAATGCACTGGATAGCTGGCCAATCAGAGCACACCTCGCTTTTCAGACCGATGAGCTTTGTAAAAATCGAGGCGTTTCAGAAAGGCAGGGCATAGAGGAGAAACAATAATGTACAGTATGTGGAAAATAATGTGTTTTTTAACCTGAAACCGCATGAACACATATCATTACACCAAATACACAAAATAATGTTCTTTTTAGCAACATCATAGGACCCCTTTAATTTGTTTTTATTTTTATAATTTCCATTTTTATTTTAAAGTTTTTAAAATTTTTGTTCTTTCAGCACAGCAAGTACTAAAATAATTTATTTAATTTCAGTTGACAAAATGCATTTAAATATGATTTTCATTTAGTTATAGTTTAACAATAACCCTGGTTCTTTTATAATTTCCAAATCTTAAAATAAATATATATATAATAAAATATATTACTTATACTGCAGTATTTATACTTCTACTTATAATTATTATCTATGCAGTTTTATGACCTCATAAATTAGAGCGACTACATGGAATATTTGCAGCATTTAAAACTTTTTTAGTGTAGTGAAGTGAAGGCAAAATAGTGCTTAAAATTGTGAAAAATTCTAAAGAATTTATACAATTTTCATTATACATCTTATCCTAAAGCTTGGTGTTGACGTAAAGAAAATATATCGACACATATGCATCAACTACCCACATACTTACTGTATTAAATGTTTATTTTAGAGTAAACCTATGAAATTATTTAAATTCTTACAATCACAGCTCAAATAGTTAACTTAAAAAACAGTTTGGCTTGAGTTACAATAGCAAAAACTCTTAAAATAAATATAAATGCTGAAATACTACTCTTTGGATGTTAGTGACAGTGTCCTTTTCACAGTTTTTTTTTTTTTTTTTTTTTTTAAAGCTGCAGTCCATAAGTTTTGCCTCTTTGTCGCCATCTCTGTTTGAAAACCTGGAATTGCAGCTGTGTGCGGAATTAATTAGCTTGCGTGGGTTGTGCTGCGGCAGGGCTCCAGCGTGGATGAATCTAATGTTCTGAAGAGTATGTGGCACTCAGTCACCACACTGGTGTGGATATTTACTGTACTTCGCAATCACAGATTCTAGCCTACGTCTTGGAATATGACCCAAATAAGAATTTTCACCGTATACTGCCATCTGAACAAGTAAGTAACAAGTCTGCCACGTTTGTTCTGACCAACTGAGGAAAAAAGCATTACCATAAATCTTGCTGGTGATTAAATCTAAAGATCGGTTAGCTCATATCACATCAAACCATTCAAATTATTGTTATTGTTATACTTTATTCTCAAATGATTAATGTTAACAACATCAGCATTAGTGACTATGAGTATAGTGTGTATTAACGTGTAGATTTCAATTTCTGTACAGTCTAATCTAATTGTCATACTCTTCGAATTTCATATTAAGAAATTCTTTTAACCCAAAAAGCAAATTATGCTCGCTTCGAACTAGTTTTCTTTAAAATACAAATCTTTGTAATCCCAGGCTATCTGTAATCAGAAGCACATTTATAACTGGAATATAATTTAATTTCATTCACATGTGTTTCATAAACACATAATCCTTTATGGATTACAATCCACCATCAAAATTATAAATTTAATTATTCTGGCTGCTGTGAGAAAAGGCTATAAACGATTGGCCACCTGCAGGATCCTCACATGCGATTGCCTAGTAGCCGGGACAACTTCTTTATGTTTACAGACGTGACGTAATGACGCAGTGCCATGCTCGAATTTCCCGTGAAAACCTACACATACCACTCAAAATAGAAAACATTATTATAAGATAACCGTTGTGAATCGGACTGAAATAAGGCGATAGTTTTGAACACTGGCTGGTTATGTACTTGCTCAAATATTGATTTCAGATCATTTTTAACCAAAAAAAGTTACGGACTGCAGCTTTAATGTTCACCGCTTGTAAAAGTTCGAAATTGTCCATGGAACCTGTGTTTGAGGCTTCTGCTAGATGTCAAGATCATCCGGCCTGGCCCGACTGCTCGCTCGACTACTGGGTCGAGGTTCAAGCTCTTTGAGCAGCAGAAGATCCTTCCCCAGAGTCACTTTCTCGGGATATGGAAAGCGCTGAGTGTGACCCAGCTGGTTCTGTTCTGTACTGTAATTAGTCCAGTTCTGCTCATTAGCCTGCTTGTCATAATTGTCAGAGGAGTTGGACCTATCGCCCGTATCTAGGTTATAGCCCAGATTAGGGACGGGGGCTGAGCAGTCGTTGTAATACCCATAACTGGACAGGTTCCTTGGGCAGGGCTTGATATTACAGGTGCTTTCAAAGTTTTTCTGCGACTCTTTGAATCGGTCCTTCATCCTCTTGAAAATCACATAAAAAAGCTCAAAGACATTGAGGGCCAGAGAGACAAGTGAAACAACCAACATAAAGATGATAAAAACCGTCTTCTCGGTGGGACGAGACAAAAAGCAGTCTACTTTATGTGGACAAGGGAACTTTTGACATGTATAAACGGTCGACAGCGTGAATCCATAAAGGTGCCACTGAATCAACAGGAAAACAACTTCAAATATGGACTTCAACACAATGCTCACTATATATGTGTAAAATATCCCTCCTCTCATTTTGATCTTCCCGTGATCTTCCAGGCCATACTTGAATTTCTTCATTTCAATTTTCCTCAACAGCACATCCACATCTCCTCCTTTGCTCTGGATTTCTCTTAATTTCTCCTCCTTTTTATTCAATTTCTCCTCCTTGTGCATAAGGAACACGACATGGCTGAGGTACAGGAGGGTCGGCATGGACACAAATATGATCTGCAGCACCCAGAAGCGCACATGGGAGATGGGGAACGACTTGTCGTAGCACACATTCTTGCAGCCGGGCTGCAGCGTGTTGCACTTGAACGCCGACTGCTCGTCTCCCCAGGCAGACTCCACCGCCGTCCCCAACACCAGGATCCGGAAGATGAAGAGGATGGAGAGCCAGACTTTGCCTCCTGCCGTGGAGTACGCCTGGACCTTGTCAAGAAGTTTCCCCAGTGCGCTCCAGTCACCCATGATGAAAGATGTTCTGGATTAGACAGGAGATGACCAACCTTCAAGCTGACACAGAGAATCAATTCAATGAGTGTTATAAACACAGATGAACCCCCCCGGTGTTAAACACATCCAAGTGGTCTCCTCGCTCCCCATATTACTGCCAAGTACAATAACATAAGTCCTTGGCTCTTCTTCAGAAATGTTCCTGGGTCAATCCCCGTTTTGAAATAATGCTTTGGGGATTTCTGACTTTTCAACAGATATTTAAAAAAGCTAGCATTTTTGTAAAATTCAGAACAACAAGTAAATAGGCTAAAACACAAATACTAAAGGATAAAATAGTTTAAAAAATATTTTTATACATAGTATTTTTTTTAATCACAAAAACACAGTATTTCTGGAAAACAAACTTCTGAGGCTTATCACAGATTTAACAAACTAAAATATTTTTAAACTATATACTATCCAGTTCCAGACTATAAACAAACGACGCTATTTAATAAGCAAAAACATGCATACATACACAAATATAGGCCTATACAGTTTGTATCCTACCAACTTTTAAGCTTTAACATATTTCCAATACATGTTGACTAAATGCTATGTTGTAAAGTATGTTTCTTACCAGGAAAGTCGTTAAAACCGCCAAACGTCTTGATAATTACGATAACTATTTGTAACATTTCAATGACAACTTTTCCCAAAATAACCAGTTTCGATATAAAATGAGTTTTCCTACGGCGAAAGTTTCCTCATCACATCCGTCGGAGGGACTTAGTCAGAAGGGGGAAAGTTAAACGTCAGCTGACTCAAACTTATGGACTTCCAGAACTTCTCCATCTCCGTTATATTTTTTTGGGAGGAAATGTCTTGGAATAAGGGAGTGCAATGAAAGTGGGAAACACCGCCATCTGCTGTAGAAATCTTTTATATATATATATATATATATATATATATATATATATATATATGCGCATTTGAAAAGTTCAATTAATATAGCAGTGTAATCTATAGAATATATAAATGTTAATCACATTTGCATTTTAAAAAGCATGTTCTATCTTTTTTTCAGTGAACAATCAACATCAAAAGTTTTATTTCGCTTGTTTATTTTAAAATGAATCACAACAATCACATCTCTATGTATGGATAAATTATTTAATATGATTAAGCATGATTGACTATTCCATATATACTCTCGATAGCTAATAGTCATATCTGATGTTCAAACTAAGTTCTCAACATAATATACTCTTTGTATTGCTTGCAGAAAATATAATTTTTTTGGGCTGAAATGAAGAAAATGACTTGGTAATCGAATATGCTTAGTTTGTTTTGGGAACCAACAACTGTTTTTCTTTTGCAACTAAACATTTCAGACCACAGCCTCAGGAGGTTCATTTCCTCGGGGTCATGGAGGACCTCAGGGGAAGCTCTCCCTCAACCCAGCTGTTTGGATTAGCCAACATTCTTTTCCATATTTGAATTTCCTCATCCATCGAGTCCATCCAATCAACTTTCTTGCCATAGCTCTGTCCTGCAAGTTAAGAGAGACACTGTTAATGGAATGGCTTCAAAAAACTTTCCTTCAGCTTTTAGATCAGGACTCGAAATATAGATTAGGTACAAAATACAGCTGCAATGAAGAAATGCTTTTGTTACCTGTTCCGAGACTGAGGCGCAGACCTCCCAGAAACTGATTGGCGAGTGTGTTGTGATCCCAAACAGTCAATTCGCAGCAGGCCTCACTGACCTCCCCAGTTTTGAACCCGTCATACACCATGGCATGGTTATACACAGGGTCCTGCGTCTTTTTTACAATGCGAGTCTTCTGGCGGCTTTTCTTTCTGGTATCTGGTAAAATGTAGCTAAGAAACAAAACAAAATTATGAGTGAATCTCACCTGTCAAAAATATGTCCAGGTCATATTTCACCCCAAAATCAAAAGAAAGAAATAAGAAATGTAATTCTGTTTTTATGTTAAATTATATATATATATCACAAAAAAATACATTACTTTTTGTAATGTAATCTCAAAATAAGCTTTAATTGAAATGACTGGAGGCATTACAGTAATGAGAATACAGTAAAATTTCTTATTTTTTCTTTTGATTCTGGGGTGAAATATGACCTGGTCATGTTTTTTGTCTGACTCACAGTAGCTTATGTAAATCTAAACAAAATACTGTAAATACATATAGTGCTAGAACAGACATTTTAAACCTATAAAACTGCATCAGGAAAAACATTTGTCTGACTATGTGTAAAATGAGTTTGTGAAAATGTTACAACGAAGTTAGTTCTGTATATAATTTTTTATCTTTTAAACCAAACAAAATGAAAGAAATGGGTCATCTGGGTCATTTCCTTTCTTCTCATGTCACTTGGATAGAAAAAAAAACATAACAAAGAGGAAGCATGAGAGAGGGAAAGAGAGTTAGAGATGGAACAATGGCTTTAGCTGCTTTGAAAGTCATGTCCGTAACAGATGACAGGCACACCCTCACCACTTAACAAATGAATCGACTCCCTGAGGCTTCAGGCGACGTAATTCCTTTGCCTCCCGCAGCCAGACATGAATCTCCCCGGTGCTGTTCTTCGACCCACCTGAAATCAAATAACACATTTTAAAGCTTGTTTGTCATGAGCTGCACTTCTAAACTTAGGTATACAGAATGATATGAAATACACAGATGCAACATTGACATTTGAAACTGTACCGGACTCCGGAGGGGCATATTTCAGTGAAATTGATAACAATCCATTAGACTCTTGCGATTCTTGATTTTCTGAGGTCTATAAACAAAAGAAAATGTAATATTCTGTTATATCAGAGAACTAGGTTGAACTGAGATATCACGTTATGTGAAAGAACGTACAGGCTGTTCCTAAACACAAAATCATTTGAAAGTATGTTTTTCACAAACATTTTAGGCAGTGTACCTTTGGCTGTAGGTTGTACCAGGTGAGGGCCTCATGTCCCCAGTCCCAGATCTTAAAACTGATCTCAACCTGCCCCAGGAACAGATTTCTGCCTCTGGAGTCATTGTGCCACACGGACAGATTCAGAGTCTTATCCGGCAGCTCTTCACGCTTCACTTTGTACTGAATAGAGATTTACAGTACAGATAAGATGCAAGGTTATATTAAATATTCATTTGATATTTTAGTGTCACAGAGAAACATACTCTCAGAGATTCAACGTAAACTGGATTCGCAGTCCATTTCTTAATGGAAGTTTTCCTTTTGCTGCGACGTGACTTGTCTGGATAGAGGTAGGTCTTCACATAACTGAAGATAGATAGATAGATAGGTAGATAGATTATATATAGCTTTAATTCATTTATTTTCTTAGTACAGATTTTCTTTTTAGTTTCAGAACTCACGGGTCAGTGCGTTGTTTACGTGGATCAGCTATGGCCAGATCCTGGCACTGTTCAATCATGATGATCAGCTCTCCAACAGGGCTGTACATCACTGCAAACTCCACAGAGCCCTGCACTTCAACATTCCCAAAATCCCCTGCGTCGCTGTACACACTCAGCAAACTACCGGTGCGCTTATGGGGGAGGGGAAGGAACACGGATAAATCTCTGGAACACCATCTTTTTTAATTTTGGACTTTTATTGCCTTGTACTTGAATAGGAAATTTAATGATCACAGGAAAGGGTGGGAGAGAGAGGGGGATATGGGATGAGGAAATGACACAGTCTGTACTTGAACCTGTGCCCCACTGGAGCACAACGGCCCTTATGTGGCATAAGCACATGCTAGACTGCAAAACATAACAACATTCAGTGACATTATGTAATGCAGATATTTTATACTATTTAAGGGCTATTTAAATGTGTTTTTCGTTGCTTAGATTATTTTTGTGATGTTTAATATGCAGAAACATCTGCTGATTTACTTAAAACACTACGGCTTTATGGTGCCTTTCAAACAAGCCAGCACTGGCTCAACCATAAATCTGGGGCCGGAACTACTTATAATAAACTGTTTATCAGGTAATTGACAAGTTTGGACAAGCAATGACAAACTAAGCCTTTAAACATCTTTAAAAATACAAAGTAGAAACGGAAAAGGTCCAGCTCACATCAGTAAGAGACAACGCGCTAGCCGAATAGCCTTTTCTGCTAGAGAGATCTGACCCATAGCTGGACAATGAAGTATCATCATCATCTGAATCAACTCCTTCATCCTGTGACATAGAAAACAATATAAACAAAAACAGCAAAACAGAACATAAGCTTACATTTGATTTGACAGTCAAGCAACTTACTCTGATCAATACTGCACACTGCAGTGGAGGATATAAAGGAATGATGAAATGATATTTAAAGTGCTGCAACAGTATAAATTACATTTGCAGGATGAACAGTAACTCACCCCCCGAGCATTTGCAGTGTAGGAAGGAGTTTTAGATGTGGATCCCTCAAGTAAAGCCTCTAGATCTGACACGCCATGTTTCTGTCCTAAAGAAATTAAAGAATAAAGCTCAATTAAGATATAAATCCATGCATGTGAATATACCGGGAGAAATCTAACTTAAGTTAAACCTGAGCTTAAGTGAACAGACAAACAAGACAGGAAGTGTCTTTCTCACATATCAGCCCTTAAGGGCACTTCAGAAATCAGATTTCACACTTCAAGCTAACATGGTGATATCAGATCTCATAATCAGTTACCTTTCATTTTTGTTGGATCTGGAGATTCAGATGGCATAATGACTATTGTGGGAACCATATCATCTCTAGTCTCCTGCTTTGGCTCCAGAGCAGTGTTCTTCTGCAGGACGGGTGGTCTTGTCTTTTGAGCTCTGGCCAGAACACTTAGTACTATATCTGACTTCATCCCCTGCTCGGTTTCAGCATTGTCCTCCTCAACTTTTATCTCTGAAGAACCTTGACCCAGCCCAGCAACATCTTCACTTGTAGGTTTAGCTGGTCGAATTGGTTCAACAGCAGTTTTGTCGTTATGTTTAGTGTCAACGTGCTCTCCAGCATTTCCAATGTGCACTAATTTCCCATTATCTGTCATTGAAAGATAGTCTTGGCTTAATTCTGCTAAAACTTGACTTGTATTGTTAGTGTCTTTTGCTAAATTATGATCATTTGATGACTTTTTCTTAATTTTTTCTTTATCTTCATGAGCATCAAGATATCTTTGCACAGTTTTGTCACTGACACTTGGTTTTGAAGGTGGTGATGACATTTTGAAATCTTCTACTGCACTTATATCGGCTGTTTTATTGTGCAACAGCTCATTTTTTTTAGGTGTTTTCTTTTCCATTTCCACTGGTCGGTCATCGGCAGAATCACCGGAAGCATCTTTCCCCTGCAGAGTGTCAGAGGGAAATTCATGAGAATCCATTTCAATCCCCCATTTTAATGACTGACTTTGGGATGCTTTTTCAGCAGAGGAATGCTTATTGATTTGTTCCTCACCAGCTACACACTCAACTACTTGATCTGTCTCAGCAAGTAAACCAGCGCTTACAGTTTTCCCTTCATCTCCCTTCCTGTCTGAACTTGCCTCATCATTAAGTATATCTCTGGAGACCATCGTTCTCTTATCATGCTCATTAGCAGAGTCTGAGGAACCCAGTTTATCGCTCTCAGACTCTCTAAAAGTACAATCAACTGAACACTACAGATCTCTGCCTGTACCATCTTGGAAAGCATTAGTAGACTCGTTAACCTCCTCTGAAACTTTGTGATTTGAGTGTCTAGTCAATTCTGGCCTATCACTGGTGAAAAGTAAGGAAGTCTGTGGTTGATTCTGAAACTCAGTTGATGAACATCTTTCTAAGAAAACATCTTGGTTAAAGTCTTTAGGTTCAGCTTGAGATACAATTTGAAATGATGTTTCGTCCATGAAATTTAAAGATGGAGGCTCTGTGTTTGGACTTGATGTGTCCTGCTTCTTTAAGGTCTCTGTATTCTCAACATGTGATTTTACCTCTTTTTGTTTAGGTCCAACACTATTGCTTTCATCATGCATAGGTTTCACTGCATTCGGTTCGAGGGATATCTTCACCCAGTTCTCTTCAAACGATTGGTCTTTACTTAATACTTGAGGGAGTGAAACTTTTCGCCCTGGCTCTGGATTTGTTGCATGTTTTGTGGTGCCTCTTTCGGGTTTAGTGTCTTGAACTGCACTTAAGAAGGGAAAAACAGTTGTTTGGTCACCAGAGAGCTCTTTGGGTTGTGCTTCTGATGAATTGTCTTGTGGGTCAGTGCTATTGAGGACATGATTGCCATTGAGTTCTGCTCGTAGTTTTTCTTTTCTTCCAGCCACTCTTGGAGCAGATGAAGCCTCTGTAAACACAGATCATTTGTACTGAAAAGTATGACCAAAATATCACCAAATCGAACTCACACAAAACTAAATGATCAGTTTCCACAAAAATATTAAGTAGCACAACTGTTTTCAACACTGAAAATAATAAGAAATGTTTCTTGAGCATCAAATCAGTATATCAGAATGATTTTTATGGATCATGTGACACTGAAGATTGGAGTAATGGCTGCTGAGAATTCAGCTTTATGTCACAGGATAAAAATTACATTTTAATAGTATTACAATTTAAACTAACTGTTTTCTATTTCATAATATTACTGTTTTTACTGTATTTTCTTGTCAAATAAATGCAGGATCTGTGATCATAAGAGTCTTTAAACATTGCTCCCACACCCCAAAATGAAAATAGCAATATTTAGGAAAAATTGGTTCACTAGCATACCTAAAGTTCACCCAAAATGAAAATTCTGTCATAAAACATATTCTTTTAAGTTCAACAGGAAAAATAAACTTTTTTTTGTCAAATAAATGCAGGATCTGTGATCATAAGAGTCATATTTAAAAACATTTAAAAATCTTACCAACCCCAGATTTGGACGGTATTGTAATTCCCTACAAAGCATTCATGAATCCTCAATGATAAAAAAAACCATGTTTATTCATGTGATTAAAACTCACCACCATCCATAAAGTCCTCATCAGTATATTGATGATAACTCTGTAAATAAATAAATAAAAATTAAATTGAAATTCTGGTCTTACATTCTAAATATTTACAGAAAAACTAAATATGAAATATTACACTGAATTTTACCGTTAATTTCTGTCATATGTACATCAATTTGACATAGTCACCACTGACAAGCTACTACTAAATATATTGTAGAAACTTAATTTCCTGTAAAGCTGCTTTGCAACGATTTGTATTGTGAAAAGCGCTATACAAATAATAAACTTGAATTTAATTGAATTAAATATAATATATAATATGACAAACCTCTTTACTAAGTGCTGGATGAATTAATCTAGGGTCAGCTGATGGACTACGGTGGACAAAAATATATACAATATGTAAAAAAATATATCATATTACAGGCATATTGAAAAATTTACATATTGAAAATCCATCCAAAATACATTTGGTTGGCAGTTCAGCGCTGTAAAATAAAGGCCATTACTTTGAATACGTTGAAGGTGTAATGTGATCCTCCTTTTCATTCAGGAACGGGTTGGGTTTATGAGCTGAGTTAAAAAGGAAACAGCAAATATAATCAGTTCTGACATACTCAAAACTGCTTGATTCAAACCTAGATGCACCTAGTTCATATTCACTTAACAGTGAAATGGAGTTTTAGTTACAGTAGCGAAGGGCAATGCAGGGCATAATCAGGACACAGTATGTTGTATCTATCACTCAGTCAGAAAGCAAAAAAGTTTGAAATGACCAGACAGGTGTGTTGTGTGTACTCAAAGATAACAGCATCAGCTCAATAATGATGGCATGAACTCTGCATACCTGCTGTTTTCTTCCATCTCATGGAGGACCTCACCACTGCAGTGACATCTGTCTGCAGCCCGTATCGCTTGACCCTGAGCTCTTCAAACCACTCACCTGTCAAAGTCTTCAGCTGTTGAAAGTCAGGGACTGACTGCCTCAGTTTCCTGATATGTCATAAAAGCACAAACAGGGTTCTGAATACTACAGATGCACTATTTAGAATACTTTGGCCAAAGACTTTGGAAAATGTGCAGAAGTCATTATAACTTAAACATTGCTCCCACACCCCAAAATGAAAATGGCAATATTTAGGAAAAATATGATTAGCTGTTTAGCATATGCTTTGGCTCACTAGTTAGGGTTCACTAGCATACTTAAAGTTCACCCAAAATGAAAATTCTGTCATAAAATAGTTCAACAGGAAAAAGAAACTTGTATAGGTATGGAACAACTTGAGGGTGAGAAAACGATGACAGAATTTACTTTTTTGGATGAGCTATCCCTTTAAGTAAGCACACTTAACCCTCATGCCGAGTTCACACCACGATTTTAGCCCGATTTTTCACTCGCCGACAGGTTTTGCGAAATCGCTGACAAGTGCCCGAAATCGGAGGCAAATCGGTGCTCGTTCACACGAGGGACAATCACGCAGTGTGAATTATCAAAGACGCAATCTGAGGGAATCTGATTCACAATCACGCTGTGTGCAATGATTTCTGACTGAACACTACATCGGCGATGACCTACAGCCAATGAAAGACCAAGATACAGGGCAGACACTCAGTCAGAAAGCAAAAAAGTTTGAAATGACCAGACAGGTGTGTTGTGTGTACTCAAAGATAACAGCATCAGCTCAATAATGATGGCATGAACTCTGCATACCTGCTGTTTTCTTCCATCTCATGGAGGACCTCACCACTGCAGTGACATCTGTCTGCAGCCCGTATCGCTTGACCCTGAGCTCTTCAAACCACTCACCTGTCAAAGTCTTCAGCTGTTGAAAGTCAGGGACTGACTGCCTCAGTTTCCTGATATGTCATAAAAGCACAAACAGGGTTCTGAATACTACAGATGCACTATTTAGAATACTTTGGCCAAAGACTTTGGAAAATGTGCAGAAGTCATTATAACTTAAACATTGCTCCCACACCCCAAAATGAAAATGGCAATATTTAGGAAAAATATGATTAGCTGTTTAGCATATGCTTTGGCTCACTAGTTAGGGTTCACTAGCATACTTAAAGTTCACCCAAAATGAAAATTCTGTCATAAAATAGTTCAACAGGAAAAAGAAACTTGTATAGGTATGGAACAACTTGAGGGTGAGAAAACGATGACAGAATTTACTTTTTTGGATGAGCTATCCCTTTAAGTAAGCACACTTAACCCTCATGCCGAGTTCACACCACGATTTTAGCCCGATTTTTCACTCGCCGACAGGTTTTGCGAAATCGCTGACAAGTGCCCGAAATCGGAGGCAAATCGGTGCTCGTTCACACGAGGGACAATCACGCAGTGTGAATTATCAAAGACGCAATCTGAGGGAATCTGATTCACAATCACGCTGTGTGCAATGATTTCTGACTGAACACTACATCGGCGATGACCTACAGCCAATGAAAGACCAAGATACAGGGCAGAGGGAAGTTCGGGGAGGAGTTATAGACCAGAATATCAGTATTTCAAAAGATATATGAACAATTATATCATACAGAAACAAGCACAAACAAACATTTGCTTGACCAGCCACAA